GGCCCGCTGCCCAGGCTGCTGGCGCTGTGCGCGCTGCTCGCCCCGCTGCAGGTAAGGAGCGCACGAGCGCCCGAGACGCGGGGGCTGCCGCGTGCTCGCCCCTCTGCCCTCACAAGCGAGCGCCAAGCCTTGCGGGGGAGGGGAGGGCGGTGGAAACCTGGAGTGTGGGGGCGGTTACCGCAGTTGGACTGCGGAGAGAGGGAAGGGCTGGTGGAGGAGTATTGGGGGGCAGAAGGGAAGGTTGACGGGACCCCGACACCGGGACACGTGCTTTTCCAAATGCCCCGCTTAATCGCAGCCTTGGATGACACCCGTCACCCTCCAAACAGTTGAGCACCCATCGAGCGCCTACTGCAAATGGCTGTTGTGGGAAGCAGCAGTATAGACTCAGCTCCTGCCCCGTGTGAACAGAGTAAACAGGCGATTCCTAAAGATCTCCCTGAGGATCTGCTTTCAGACCTGCAGGTGTCCCTCGGGAGTGCTGGGTCTCTAACTTGGGCTTCACACCCTTCCCTACTTCACTTACCTCTTTATCTGAAGAATAGAGCCATGGCCGTTGGGGGTGGAGGGCGGGCGGGAGCGGTGCACGGAGTTTACAGACTTGGGAGATGTCTTCTGAAGGTGGATGAGCCTTCTTTTTTTTATGTCCTCTTTCTTTTCCCCTCGCCCCTCACTGAGGCCAAAGCCCTGCTGGAGCTCCAAAGCCCGGGATGCACCTGGGGCTCCCCTGGTCCAACTGCAGTTCCCTAAAGGAGGCAAATCAGTTCTGGAGAACCCACCTCCCAGGCAGCCAAAGTTCCATTCCAGGAAAAGCCCCGATTCCCTTGATCCCTGGAGCTGAAGGCCATCCCCTACCCTCATGTTAGGAGCACCTCATAGTGGTGAAGAGCTTTGGCTCCATTACAGTTTGCTGGGAACGGAGTAGCTTCCCAGGGTCTCCTGCCCGGGACTCTCGGAAGATCAGGCAGTACAGTCACAATGAAATGAAGCCAGGTAAGGATTTTCTGCCCAGGAGGAGAGCTGTGTACTGCCGCAGACCCAGCACTCCAAATACTGTACTATAAAAATCATTTGTACTTCAGAGTTCCTCAGAGGGAAGGGTGAATGTTGGCGGTTTTCTTGGTTTCAGCAGTTTCACATTTCTCTTCTAAAACTGACTTGGGCATCTGCTGCTAACACCCCTGGGCACCAGAGCTCTGAGGCCTGCAAAGATAGGAGAGGTGCACTTGGAGACTTAACCGTGATTGGGGTGAGAAGAGGGGGAAACCCAGTTTGGGAGAAAGCCTTTACAAAAGTAATGGGAACATGCTGCAGGCTGAAGCAGGGAATTGTGGTGTCAGTTCTTTCTCCTTCTAGTTTTAATGGTCTCTTAGAAGAGTTGAGGGAAAAGAAGGCGGAAAGGCCGAATGGAACTTTTCATTTTAAGCACTTCAGGTGTTGCTTAATTAAGTGTTCAACAGGTTGAACAGGGTGCTACCTTATTTGACTTAAAGGACTAAGGCTCCAGTGAACAGTTAGCCACCTAGGAAAAACTTGCCCGATCACACAGCTAACAAAGAATCTCACTTTGCAAAAACTACATACATATGTGCATGAGGTGCATTTGGTTCTAATATTAACAGCAAATGCTGTCAAAATGGTCTTTCAGAGAAACCATTCAAAGACTGCTATTCACCTATTTCTCTTTAAGCCACTTATATCGTGTTCATTTTTTGTGATGAGAGGCACATTTTTATATCCAATATATAATTGAGGAACATGTGCTGGTAAATAGCAAGTTAGAATTCAAATGACACCGCAGTTAGAATATACAGTGAGCATTAATTATGTGATTTTTAATCGTATGTAATCTGCATTGTTAGTCAAATCAAATGATGTTGGGACACTCTTCTGACTGTTTTTTGTGCCCTGTTTCTCCAAGGGAAATCCATACTGTCCAACAGAATGGGGCTGAATGTAGTGTTAAAATATTATCTTTAAAAGATAGGCTTGCAACCATTGTCTGTGTTCAATTACTACTTTTTTGGCCAACCTATTCTATTAATTCAAAAATTTGGAAATTGCACTGGCAATCCCTGCACGCCATTAGTGATCATTCTTAGGAAAGTGCTGAGAAAATGCTGAGCCCGGGAAGTGATTGTGCAAAATAGTTGGCTTCTAGAAAGTGCACTAAGTGTATTATATTTAATGTCATTTATATGACATTAAATATTATATTTAATGTCATTTATATGACATTAAATAGATTCAACATGATGTGGTGGCACATGTCTGTAATCCCAGCTACTCAGGAGGATGAGATAGGAAGATCTCAATACCAAGCCCAGCTCAGCCAATTTAAAAAGACCATCTCATCATCATCATTATCAAAATAGTAATAATTAATAATCATAACGATGATGATGGTGATGGCTGAGGATGTCATTCAATGGTAAAGCACTTGCTTTTCATTCTTGAGGCCTTGAGTTCCAAAAAACAGTAATGCAAAGAAAGAAAACATTCAAACTTACGTAGAAGCCTGTAAACTTGGCCTTTCAACCATTTCTGTGATTTATATCTCTGCCTATATGAGCGACTGAACTGGTTTTCAGATGTGATAAGAGTTTTTGCCTCTAAAAAGTTTTGAGTTTTTATGTTGATAGTCCTGCTGTTCATTCCAAGTATGAAAATAAAGACGCATGCTCATCACTAAGGTCATGGGGAATGCAGAGCCCTGCTTTCCTCAGGTTATCTAATATCCAAGACCTATGAGCAAATGCCTTCCGTCTCATGACAACAAACATTTATGGTGTGCAAAACCTTGTGCTCATGAGAAACAGCGTGAAGACACAGTTGCATCTTCACAGGTCTCTGTCTAGAGGAGAGGATGAGGGGGGTGAAAGTTTAGCAATAAGGAAGCAGCACTCATAAGAAGAGTGCAGAGGGCAGTGGAGGAGAGGAGGTGGGATGAACCGCTGAAGGAATCCGGGAGGGCTGCCAGAAGAAGAGGTTTGCTAGTGGCCTTTGAAGGATGGGTAGGAAATCAAGGGTCAGAGAAGAAACGATTCCAAGAGATGGTAAGGAAGAAAGCTTTCTAGGTCAAGAGGATGGTGTGAGTGGTTAAGATCTAAAGGAATCTTGCCAGAAAAGAAACCACATATGTTTATAACCTTACAGCTAGTACACAGCACCTCAGTCAGGAAGCCCCACCAAATAGATGAGGCATTAAACTTTTATAGTTTTGAGATAACTCTTGTATGGCCCTTATTAAGGTGGTAAGGTAGGCGAAGAAGCAGATAGGCCACACTTGCCTGGAAAGGGCTGTGGGGCAAGCCCTCAGGAAATCCCCTGGGGTGGGGCTGGAGGTTGTAGGGTTGGTAGGTGCTCAGTGCAGTCTTTCTGCCTGCCACCCCATCCCGTCCTGGAGGCAGAACTTGCATACAGACTTGGATAGAAGATATCTCAAACGAGATACTTTGAGAACACAGACAAGTAGTTCAGCAGGCTTTTAGTGCACTTTGTTGATAAATATTTGAGATAACGCCCCCATTATTTCCTTTCCACCACTTCCCCCCATATGGCGAATCTGTGATAGGAACACATTCTCTGTGTTGATAAGGACCTATGAGCTTGCTTTTTTGGTTATCTATAGCAGTCCATACACCAGGAAAACTGAAATAATAAAGATGTATTTCTGAAGGTCAATAAATCAGTGTTTTATGAGGCCATGAAAAGGGGAGTTCCAACCTGATCTCCTTTGCAGAAAGTGTTGTTTTAAGAAGGTGTAGTGTGAACTTTATCTGCCATGTCAGTATTAGGCATTTTCCCTCATTGTAATTTCCTATTTTTGGAAAACGTGGGAAAAATTAGAGCTTTTCCCACATGGTATGTCCAGCAGACTCTAGCTATGATGTCTCTGCTTTTTTGTTCACCTCCCCAATATCAATCTGCATCCTGCTGTGATGGTCCTCAGCCGTCAGGTGGTTCACACCATAGGTAGGCGGGTCCAACCTTTTGGCCTGCCTGGGCTGCAGTGAGTGAAGAGGAATTGTCCTGGGCCACATGTGAAATGTATAATATAGCTCATCTGTATAAGTAACACAACTTCCTTTCTTATAATTGTTATCATAACATCTTTAAAAGGGGGGGGCAAGTGACCTGTGGGTCAAGGTTGGACACAAGTGCTAGGCACCTACCCACTGGCCGGGTCCCCACCCTGGGAGAACTGATGGCCTGTGTGCCATCTCCTGCAGTGCTTGGCCCTGTTCCACAAGGGAGCCTCATCTGCCTCTCAGCACGCACAGGTTGCTGCTCTGCCCGCCTGCACCCTGGGTAGGCTTGTGGTGACAGATGATTTTTCCTCTGAACCTTTCCCTCCCCTTCCTGATTTACAGGAAGTCATTTACATGTATTTCCCTTTGGGGTATGATAGATATATAGGCTTTTTTGAGTATGTGCTTCTAGAAATACAGTTTAGGTTCAGCTTATCCCACTCCTGCCAGTCTGAAGAAACCAAGAAGGAACAGTAAGCTTCAGCCAGCCAGCAGGCGTGGTCCCTCCAAAATCACAGAGAGCTTTTGAGGTTGAAAGCCACGTGGGCGCTGAGGGAGGTTGGGTACACACGGCCGTGTCTTCTGTCCTGATTCTGAGAGACGGCCTCAGTCTGTTTCCTGCCAGTGCTTCCCTGGCAGCTCTCCATCAGCCTCTGTCACCAGCGGGCTGGCTGGGGCTGCTGTTCTCACGGCAGCACGGTCCAACTGCAGTGCACGCTCGGATGAGAAGACCCGGGTCAGCAGGTGGAAGCACATTATTGTTGGCCATGTGATGATAACTTTATATTTGTTTTGTTGGCCACCACTGACCTTCAGTCTTTCGTTGCCTGGGGACATAGCCTTTGATAATGAGCGGGAAGACTGAATTTGTGTTAAATCCTTTCATTTATTGAAACAATTCAACATCTACTACTTGTGTGACACTTTCCAATAGGCTAAGGAGACAGAGACCAAGGGCCACAGCGCCCGTGTTAGGGAGATGCAAGTCTAGATGTGCACAGACAGCAGGACACTGCTCCT